TAGCCAAATGCAATACTAGTGAAAAAACAGTCAGAAGAGATTAGGATGGAAAAATGTCAGTGGCCCCCACCTGTTAAACCATTCCTGTTTTGGGGGTCATCTCATTGTTGCCCTCTAGTGCACCTGTTGTTAATTTCATTAACACCAAAGCAGCTGAAACTGATTAACAACCCCCTCTGCTACTTAACTGACCAGATGAATATCCAAGAAGTTTAGTTTACTTGATGCTATACTCTGATTAATAAGCGTTCCTTTAATTTTTTTGAGCAGTGCAGTTTTGCGCTGTCGATAGGGAGCTGTGGAGTGTATCGAGTGTTGGGAGTTGTAACTGTGGGGCGATACCACGGCACAGAACTTCCCCTTTCTCTGGAGAAGGACGGGGAGGCTGGCCGTCCTTTTAAAATTTACCTTTGTTGTGCATGTTTTAGCCGAGGTCTTCAGCAGTGTTTGCTGAGAGCAAGTGATGGGGGGGGGGCATTCTTTTGGGCCCCACCGTTTCTTTGCACAATATAAAAAACAGTGACTACTGCTGAACTGTCAGTGCCTTCCTATGATACACCAGTACTTAAAGCATACCGCACTGAAGAAGCTGTCTGAGCTTCAGCTGGAGGTTCCGCAGATGCCATTGATGTAGAAGGTTCTACCGCTGTGTCCATTGATCTCCTCTTATCTGCTGCTCATTCTGCAGTAAAGCCTTATGGGGATGCTCATAACACGCATGGTCTCCCATACAGATATTTTTCCATAATCAGTCTTATCAGAATATTGGTAAGGTGAACGGCCTCCTCATTTACCAGTTTTGCTCTTTTTGACCTTAAGGATTGCCTCAGCATCATGAGTGGTGTCACTTTTGACCCTGACAGTCTCTACAGTGGCCAGTTGGAAAGGATTGAGCATCTATACACTCTTTTATCGAGTGATACTCTTCAGAGCTCAGGGTGAGAACATCGGTTTTTAAACTGACCAGACTCCAGTGGCTCTCTTTAGTTGAACAGCGCTGAAGAGGTGCTGTTCCAGCGAATGTCCACTTCTTGAATCGGTTTCAAACTCGCATACCCATTTGTTCTTCTACCTGAGACAGTCTTTTCTTGGCCGCTGTGCTAGTTCTAAAATATGCCACAATCCATCTCACCCTTGCTCTGATTAAATCACACAATTGCCCTTTTAACAATAAGGTTCTGAGCATGTGTAATATAGTTTGTGTGGTGGAGCTTCACAGTGATGGCACAGGGAATCATGTTGGCAGCGGCATCCGTGACGAGACATCTCACCTTACCCTGCATACCCCAGTCTCTATAAGTGATGTTTGTGCTGCAGTGTGAGCTTCCAAGAATTTTCCTGCACCTAGCAGCACTGTAGCCAGTTCATGGGACTCATTGATGTAATGGCAGGTTATTGAACATATGCATCCATATGAAGTGAAGTCCACATGTCTGCTGTCAGGCTTATACACACATACACACACACACACACACACACACATACACATACTGTACATACATACACACATACACATACACACACATACACACACACACACATATACACACACTCTTTCAGGTACTGGTACCTTATCTTCTCACAAAAATGACTATGCATTGATGAGTTATTATTGTCTGCCAGTTGCTGAGAGCAGATCAGACACTGGACCTGACATGAGAAATTAATATTCAGGTACCGTTATATTGGAGGAATGATGACTTTAGAATTATATCGCTATTTTTATGACAGACCTTAGTTGGATGTAGCACAGCAAAATGTTCCTAAATATGAGACCAAATCTTTTCCTAGATTGTTCCATTATTATTAGTTACAATAACTTAAGTACACAGGAATGCCACAGGCTTTGGGGAACACTGCTTTGTACCAGCTTCTGGTTCTCTGTTACATCCTGTGTTAAAATGTGTTTTAATGCATACGGTCAGTTACTGCGTGTTTTATACTCTGCTCCCTTAGCTGCTAGGCCCTGTTTGTGTTGTCCTACAGTATTAACAATGAAAATATACAAATGAAATCAAAGTAATTGAACATAAATAAATAGATAAAAATAAATAAATAAATAATTATTACTTAACATAAGGAGAAATAAATGACTAATAATTATGAGTATTGGGCTTACAGATTTGAATGTGTTACTGTGGGTAAGCAGTACCAAGGATCAATGGTCAGTCGCAGATTGTATCCAATTTCTTATTTATCAATTAATTAGTTAGTTAAGGGGGAGAGTTTTAATTTTTTCAAAAAGGGTGATCATGGGTCCCCAGTTTTTGGTAAATTTTTTACTTGAGCCTCTAATGCAGTATTTTATTTTCTCCAATTTTAAAAAGGATATTAGATCCCAGGGCCACACTGATGCAAGTGGAGGCTGTGTGGACTTCCATTTGAACAATACCCAACTTCGTGCAAGAAGAGAGGCAAAAGAGAAAGCATTTCGAACTGTACTCGTCAATCTCAAATGTTTCTTGAGAAATTTCCTTCAGGTTCAGTGCATAGGTCCTGTTATGAGGGTAACTCAGCATGAAATTAACCTGTAATGAAGGTGGAGTATCGAGGCCATGGATTGGGATCCGGCCCTAATGCTTGTGTAACGTAGCTAAGTATTATGAACTTATATCTGGGGTTATGTTCTTGATGTGAGGACATAAGTCAATCTCAGCGTGCCTCGATCATTATAGGCGAGAGCTCAAATATACTGTGCAGCATAAGATGCAAAACATGTATTTAGCTAAACCTGGCTATTTGTTTTGGTTCTTGTCACATGGGGGGTGAAATACGTCTGTCAACGTCCACTATGTCTGCTTTGGACGTCTGTTAGAAAATTTTATGAAGGTTTTCATGGGACGTAAGTATGATGGAACATTACTTGATAGAACGAAAATCGATAGGTGACTGTATACTTACATGTCTTATGCAATCCTTAAAATCCTATTAACATTTGAACACAGTTCTTGTGCATGTCTTTATTACTGACATTTGATGTAGTGGCGCCTCCTGCTGGTATTCGAAAAGATAGCTGACTAGACACGTCAAGTAGGCTAGGGATACTGACTTTCACGGAATATGCAAGTGTCATAGTTAATTTCTGTTACAATTTAAGTCATGTGATCCAGTCATTAGCTGGAATAAAGCAAAGACATGGGTGTTGCGCATGGTTTTGCTTAAATCATGACTGGGTGCCACATATCTGGGATTTGAGCCCTTTGCGTATATTTTTTCACAAACGGTGAATAATCTGGCACGACCCTGTATCTAATATCTAACATGAATAACTCCGCGTAGGGACACAGCGATGCTCAGCACCTGTTGGATGAAAGGGTGATTCTGTCCCCGTGCCCGTTTACCCTTCACACCACAAATTTCTGGTACTAGTCTGGCTTTGAACATCTTTCGAAGCTCTGTGATGGTTGCGGCACTGAGATTGGTGTGCACGCGGTGTACGCTTGGGTTGTGCGCGTGTTGCAGTGGTTGTTTGGGAGTGTATTTTTGTGTTTGTGTGCTAGTACAGTTTACGTGGGTGACTGTTTTTTTCGGTCTGCGTTAGTGCTTGTCTGTCCTTGTTAAACAGCGCGAGTGTCACCGACAGTTAATTGCTACTGCGTGTGTAGCGTGAGTGGTGCTTCTGCCTGCGTAGCTTCACATTAAACACCTGCAGGGTAATATTATCTAACACCGGTAACGTTAACTCGGAAAAGGACAGCTTCTCTTGAGCTTTGCTCGGTCGCCAATCAAAGTCGGGAGGACATTTTCCACTTTTTCCCGCTCCGGCAGTAGCCTGCAGTGAGACGGTTTTTGTGGTTTTTCGGCCTCCCAAAAGCAACTTCGCTTTATTTTAACTTTACATGGTTCAGTAGGAAGTTATTCTCTCATAAGTAATAGTTATTTTGGCTATTTTAAAAATTTAAAGTTAAAAAAAAATAAAAAATCTCTGACCATATCGGATAATTAAAAAGTTCCATTTTAACGTAAGTGTTATTTTAGTATTTTATTGTCCTTTATTGTATTAACTATACCTTAATTAAATCAACTAAACATTAAATACTCATAAATATACTGGGCTGGGAGTAAGGGAGGGGGATCATAGTGAGACATTTAATTATGGGGCCAGCTCAGTGTTGCCTTTGCAAGATGTTTGCCCTTCTGGATGTTTGTGTCCAGTCGGACTTCATCTGTGAGTGATGTAAGTGGACTCACTCATGGTTCAGGTTTGTAATCTTGAGGAGCAACTGGCTCTCATCTGACACAACACAGAGTTAGAATAGAGAGTTAATAGGCCTTTTAGGGAGACGGTGTGTACGTCACAAACGGGGAGGGAGAAGAATGAAGAACAGATAAGTCGAGAGAGCCATAGGTCATAGACATAAGAAAGGGCGTACAAAGTTTACAGAGGCGGCATCACCTGAAGTGACTGTGTCTAACTGCTTTCAGGTGCTTTAGAGCCGGAAGAGACTGGGGAGGCAGGTGGGCCCTTGGGCCTACCCTTTGTGGTCTGTACTTAAACACTAGGAGTATTAGAAACAAAATTCGTGGTTTAGAGGCTTTTATTTCATCAGACTCTTACAACATTATAGGAATAACAGAAACATGGTTGAGTGACAATGATGGTGAAGAATATAATATGGATGGTTACACGTTATTCCGTAGAGTCCGGATAGGCAAGAAGGGAGGTGGTGTTGCAGTATATGTAAAAGAAAACTTGCAGGCAAGGAAGCTCACTGATAATAAAAGTACAGAAGCTATATGTATAAAACTAGATGCTAAAAACTCAGATTTTTTGCCTAATTGTTGGTGTTTGTTATACAGCACCTAATGTAGTTGCGGAGGAAAGCAGAATGTTATACAACGATATCAGGATTATGAGTAATAAAAATAATGTGGTAGTTATAGGTGATTTTAATTTACTTGGGATACAATGGGACATAGTCTCTGGCTCTACTGTAAATTAATTAGTACAGGATTGCCTTTTTACTCTGTTTGTTAAAACCCCGACCAGGGGGAGAAGCCATTGCCGATCTTGTTTTCTGTGATAACCAGGATAGGATTGGAAAATTTGAGGTTTTAGAACCACTGGACAGTAGTGATCATAACATGGTTAAATTTGAGGTTAATTTTAGTGTCCAAAGAGCAAAGTTCAAAACAAAAATATACAGTGTTAGGAAGGCTAACTTTAATGGTATGAGACTGAAACTAGAAACTGTATGGCGTTAAATAAAACTGTTGAAGAGGCATGGGAATTTTTTTAAAGCATATTATTGTAAGCACAACCAGACTTCATATCTGTTTCCAGCAAAACTAAATGTAGGAAACTGCAGCCAAGGTGGTTTACTAGTGAAATTAAGAATAAAATCAAGAGCAAAAGGGCTGTGTTCCAAAAATGGGAAATGACTTGATTTGGGAATAAAGCAGGAGTATCTAAGTCTACAGAGTGAGTTAAATAATATTAGACTCGCTTAGAGGAAAGTCGAAAGGAAGATTGCATTGGAGGCTAAGGATGACATTAAAAGTCTATTTCAATATTTTAACTCCAAAAGAGCCCTAAAAGCTGAAATCGCTGCTCTGCAGGATAGTAAGGGTCTTGTGATTGAAAATTAAATTGGTACAGTTAATGAGTTTAATGACCTGTTTTTAAGTTTATAAATGCATAAAAGCAGCACATATATTTATGCACACTCTTAAAACAAAAGGCTCCATATTGAACCTCTAAGGGTTCTATAGCTTGGTACATACACTCACCTAAAGGATTATTAGGAACACCATACTAATACGGTGTTTGACCCCCTTTCACCTTCAGAACTGCCTTAATTCTACGTGGCATTGATTCAACAAGGTGCTGAAAGCATTCTTTAGAAACTCAAAGCTTCTATATAGAACCATTATAGAGGGTTCAATTAAAAGAAATAGC